TTTTTAATTATTATTATTATTATTATTATTATTAACTTGGACCACTTTTGATTAAAAAGTTTTTTTTTTTTTTTCTTTTATTATTAATCGTGAGTTTATTATTTATTTGTTTTATTATTATTATTGAAAAAATTTTTTTTTCTATTTTTTTTTGGGGGTTGTGAAGTGTTTTTGGTTATTATTATCATTATTATCGGCCGCTCTCTTCGATCGTATTAAAAAAAAAATTTTATCGAAGGTTATTATTATTATTATTATTATATCTATACTAATATTTAATTTATAAAAAAAAAAAAAAAATTTTAATAATTATTAACGAAAAAAAAAAAATGGCGCGTAATTTAAAATTTTTTATTTAAAGAAAATTTCAAAATTTTGCGTCGTAATAATAATAATAATAATAATAAGACAGTTACTTAACGGTACAATATTATTATTATTATTACTTTTTAAAATCTTTTTATTAAATAATAATGATAATGATGGGTTTTTTATTGTTTGTAACGATGTAATTCCATTTATATTCGGTGGAAAATACATTTAAAAAAAAAATTTTCTCGTACCGGAAATGATTTAGCATATAAATAGAAAAGGGAAATTTTTTCGATTGTCGGAAAATGTTTTTTAAGATGGTGTCGAATTTAAATTGAAAAAAAATTTTTTTTTTTTTTTTTTGCGTAATTTTAAATTGAATTTTTTTTTAAAATGGAAAGTTTCGTCCCACGCTCACAATGATTTATTATATTTAAAATAATTTTTTTTCTCTCTCTCTTTATCTATCTATCTATCTCTATCTCTCTCTCTTTCATTGTTTTTTTTTTTTTAAATCAAAGATGGTGGAAAAATTTGAATTTTTTTATCGGTTAATTCTCCCCTTTTCCTATAATGTAATTGTTGCTTAATCATAATCGTGGTCGTTTAAACAAACTATTATTATTATTATTATTATTATTAAGTAAATTTTTCAGCCATATTGAATTTAATGTTTTAAAATCATCATTATTATCATCATCATCACTTATATTATTTCTTAACAGATTTATTTGATAAGAATAGAAAGTGAAAAAAAAAAAAAAGAATAAGAATAAAAAAGAAAGAAAGAAAAAAATTTTTAAAGCCCTAAAGCCTTAAAAACGATTTCGATGATGATGATGATGATGATGATAGAAGAAAGCAATTTTTTGTTGTTTGTTGTTGTTGTTGTTTTGTGGTTGTTGGGTTTTAATGTTTACACATAACGTATAAAAAAAAAAAAAAAGAAATATTTGCAACGTAATCGTTAATAATAAGAAGATTGCAAAATTTTTTTTCTCTCTCTCTCTCTCTCTCTACCTCTCTGTCCCTTTGTCTCTCTCTCTCTCTCTCTCTATCTCTTCCTCTCTGAGGATAAAATTATGATTGATTGCTTATTGTAATAAGGACGTTTTTATTTCGTGGGGAGCTTTGAAAAAAAAAAACGGGTTAAATAATAGAAAATTGTTTAACTCTCTTGTATTTTTTCTTCTGCTTCGAATCAAAAGAATTATTTTAAGCAAAATATCATTCACTCGTTTTTATTGTGTTAATAACAAAAAAAAAAAAAAATGGCGACCGCAAAAGTCAAGCCACAAAATCGGTAAAAGTAAAAAGAAGGAGGGAACATATAACGATTAACCCAAATATTAATAATAATAATAATAACAACAAAAAAATTTATTATTATTATTATTATTATTGAGGGGCGACGAGGGGCGAGTAGGAGGGGGTAGGGGAGAGAGAAAGGGAGGAGAGGGAGGGAAATTCGATCAATAATGGAGGTTTTAAAATGTTTCGAAATAAAATATCAGGAGTAGTATTTTAATAATAATAATAATAATAATTTTAATCGTGAGAAAGGATACGAAATA